CAGTGTCTATAGTACCTGCTTGTGATGGACCAACAGGTCATTTTTTTTTTCTGTTTTAAAAAGTGATTTTGATTCTTTTCAAAGTTATATGTGCATGTGGTATAAAGAATTAAGACTAGGGCCGGCCCGTGGCTCACTCGGGAGAGTGTGGTGCTGATAACACCAAGGCCCCGGGTTCGGATCCCATATAGGGATGGCCAGTTCGCTCACTGGGTGAGCGTGGTGCTGACAACACCAAGTCAAGGGTTAAGATCCCCTTACCGGTCATCTTTAAAAAAAAAAAAAAGAATTAAGACTAATACCAAACAAATAGATAAAATACATTTGGAATATAAAATACATTTGTAATATAAAATGTGCTGGGGAGAAAAATAAAGCAGAAAAGGCAGATGAGGGCTGGCTGATTAGCTCACTTTGGAGAGGGTGATGCTGATAACATCAAGATCAAGGTTCAGATCCCCGGAATGGCCAGCTGCCAAAAAGAAAAAAAAGAAAGAAAAAGGACAGGGGTGTTGAGGGGTTCTGTTATTTAATACCATGGTCAGCTGACCACCTACAGAGGTGACATTTGAGTAAAAGCCTAGGAGGAGGGAAGAGCCATGTAGGTGTTTGGAAAAAGAGTGGTCCAGGAAGAGACAACAGCCGTGCACGGGTCCTGGGGTAGGAGTGTGCCTGGCGTGTTCAGGGCACAGGGAGGGGAAGAGTGTGGCTGGAGGGGAGGGAGCGAGGGGGCAAGTGGGAGGAGAGGTGAGGAGAGAGAGGGGAAGTGACAGATCGTGCAGGGACTCAAAGGCTATTGTGGTTATGGGGAGGGCAGAGGTGACTGACATCCCCACTTTGACCTCCTCTCTCCGCTGCAGAGTTCCCCAATCCAGGAAACTACCACTGCTCCCCAGCTGCCTGCAGAGACCCAGGAGACCCCAGGACCCACCCTGTGCAGGTGATGCCCCTGTCCCGACCCCCCACTCACCACCTCTGCCTGCTGTCCCCGTCCGTACCAGTGTCCTCTTTCCACAGCCCTCTAAGGAAGTCACCCCTGACTCTCGAGGATTTCAAATTCCTGGCAGTGCTGGGCCGGGGTCACTTTGGGAAGGTGAGGTGGAGGGCAGGGAGTTGGGGGGCTGGGAGTTCAGACCCCTGGGTCCTGGGCTGGCCACTCAGGCCGTCCTTACCCACTGCTGTTCCAGGTGCTGCTTTCCGAATTTCGGTCCAGTGGGGAGCTGTTTGCCATCAAGGCTTTGAAGAAAGGGGACATTGTGGCCCGGGACGAGGTGGAGAGGTGGGCACCCTGCTCCATCCCTCTGGGGACCGCTGTCTTCTGGGAAGTGAGAGACAGAGCTGTCCTCTCCTTGGAGCTGCAGGCAGAGCAACTTGTAATAGTCCCTGGCGCTTATTAGCCTAGAACTTAAGATAATAATAGCTCTTAGAAAGTAGGTATTCAGTAGCTCATTTGTTCCCCCTGCACCCTATAAGATAAATAATGTTAATTTCCCTATTCTGACGACACAGAAAGGTTGGACAGTTTGTGCAAGGCCACACAACGAGTAAGCAGCAGGTGCAGGATTTGAACCTAGGGACTCAGGCTCTGAGGCCTGTGCTCTTAATGGTGCCACCTCACTGCCTGTACTTTGGGATAAGGGCCCTGGGTTCAAATCCCAGCTCTGCCAGATATGCTTGGAGATCCTGGGAAGTCATTTCTCCCTTCAGAACCTCAGCCTCCTGATATATAAAAGGGAAGTACTGCCTTCTTTGCAGGGTTGTCAGGTGGATTAAACGAGAGGATATATCTAGAGCACTGGCACAGCTCCTGACCCCTGTAAACACTCAGCAGAAAAGCAGTGAGATTGTCCTCAGTCCTCTCAACATCTTTTTAATAATCAGGAACCCAACTCAGAAAAGGATTAAGCAAGTAAAGGAATTTATTGGTCTGGATCAGAGAAGTCCAGGGGTGGGCTGCCTTCAGGCATGGCTGTATCCAGGTGCTCGGATGATGTTTCTCGGTTCTGCTTTCCTCTGTGTAGACTTTTCTTGCAGTCCTCTTGTAGGGGATGAGATGCCCCTTACCCCAACAACTTCAGGCTCATCCACCAGCTTTAGCCTTTCTTCCTTAATAATTCCAGGGGAAATTCTGGGATTGTGCCCCATTAACTTGGTTCACCCATCCCCAAATCAATCTCTGACCAGAGAGATGGGGTGCTTCAATTGGCCTGGGCTTCCTGCCCACCCCTGGTAGTTCCCCAAAGAGAAGTCAAGGGGCTGTTACTAAGATGATGGATGGATTCTGGGTGCCTGTTTAGCAGACAGGGCTGTTGAGGTTCAGAGATATGAAGCAACTTGCCTAAAGTTACACAGCCATGTGATGCCCTCAACAGACATCTGTTGATTGAGGACTCTTGGGAATTTGAGTCAAGAGTAGAAGGCAGCTATGGTCTCTGACCCCTGCCACCCGCCCCCTCCCCTCCCAGTCTGATGTGTGAAAAGCGGATCTTGGCGGCAGTGACCAGAGCACGACACCCCTTCCTGGTGAATCTCTTCGGCTGTTTCCAGACGCCGGAGCACGTGTGCTTTGTAATGGAGTACTCGGCCGGTGGGGACCTGATGTTGCATATCCACAGCGACGTGTTCTCCGAGCCCCGTGCTATGTGAGCCCAGCCCCTGGGCCCGGCCCAGCCCCCTCACCCTGCCTCCAGCCTCAACACCCCAACAGCTTGGCCCCAGGAGGCTGGCAGCTCCCTTCCCACCCCTCCACCCTCACCGTCAGGCTTTGCCTCCCCGCAACCGCCTGGATTTGGGGGGCACTGGGGAAGCTTTTGAGGATGTGGGAGCCAGACTTATGTGACCCTCTGCCCTTGCAGGGGGCCCAGCGCCCTCACACCAGCCTCTCTCTGCAGCTTTTATTCTGCCTGTGTGGTGCTGGGGCTGCAGTTCCTCCATGAACACAAGATTGTCTACAGGTGGGTGCATGCGTGTGCATGCTCTGCCATGATGGGGTGGTCCTCAGGCTTCAGGCAGGGCCCAGACCCCCCACTCATCCTTCTTTATATCCCCTGGCCCCTCACAGGGACCTGAAGTTAGACAATTTGCTCCTGGACACCGAGGGCTATGTCAAGATCGCAGACTTTGGCCTGTGCAAGGAAGGTGGGCTGGGATCTGAGAGGGCTGACCTCTGGGGATGAGACAAAAGACGGGGGAAGGAATGGAGTCCCCAGCCCTACTCTGGGTTGCTCCCCACCTGATCTGGGGACGGGTCTGGCTGTCTGGATGACCCCATGCTGGGCTGAGCTAGAGCTGGGAGCCTAGAGCTAGAACCTAACCCCCCAAAGCCTCACATGGCCTTACTGCCCCCAGGGATGGGCTATGGGGACCGGACCAGCACGTTCTGTGGGACCCCGGAGTTCCTGGCACCAGAGGTGCTGACGGACACGTCGTACACACGGGCTGTGGACTGGTGGGGGCTGGGCGTGCTTCTCTACGAGATGCTGGTTGGTGAGGTGAGGCCCCAGGTTGCCCCTACCCTACCAGTTCCTTGGATGGCACTGGAACCTGCGTGTGCCCAGGGGTGAGGCTGATCGGTGCATGGGTGGTTCAGTGGTAGAATTCTTGCAGGCCAGGGGTGAGGTGGAAATCTGCCCCTGCCACATGCCGTGTGACTGGGGGCTGTTGACTTCACCTCCCTGGCCTGTTTCCACATCTATAAAATGGGAATCCTTAACTCCCTGTGCAAGCCAGCACCCGAGTGAAAGGTGCAGTCACAGCGGAGGGCTCAGGTGAGGTGGACTTGCCAGAGGAGGGGCCCAATTCACCTGGCTGTCCCTGTCCCCAGTCCCCATTCCCAGGGGATGATGAGGAGGAGGTATTTGACAGCATCGTCAACGATGAGGTCCGCTACCCCCGCTTCTTGTCGTCGGAAGCCATCGGCATCATGCGAAGGGTGAGGACTGCCCCGCATGGGGTGGGCCTAGGGGAGGGGCTCTGGGGCCCCAGAAGTGGACAGACCCTGATGCAGCGCTTTCCCCCCCAGCTGCTGCGGAGGAACCCAGAGCGGAGGTTGGGGTCCAGCGAGCGGGATGCAGAAGATGTGAAAAAACAACCCTTCTTCAGGGTGAGGTCTCCCCAGGGCCTGGCCATCCCCCCACCACCTGGCCATTCCTCCCACCAAGAACCATTTCACACCCCCCACCCCTCAAGGCCTAGTCACTTCACCTCAAGGGTCTCATTGCCCCCAGGCCTTGTCATTCCCCTCAAACACTGTCAATTCCCTTTGATACCCTCACTGCCTTCCCTCTCCCTCCTTGCCCACCCCCAGCCCCATCCCCATCGACCCTCCTACATCCACATCGACTCCAGGCTGGCCCGGTGGGGGGCATATCCCTGTGTATAAGCCCAGGCTCCCCCACTGACCACCAAGGCCCACCCCCACTGTGATCCTTCCTGAGCCCCTGGTCCCCTCTACTCCCCGCCTCTTTTCTTCTGTCTTGTGGCTCCTCATGCTGGTCCCCCAGACCTGGGACTGACTCCTCCTGCAGCCTCCCCATTCTACTGCCCACGCTGACCCTCTTTCCACCCTCCACCCCCCAGACCCTGGGCTGGGACGCCCTGCTGGCCCGGCGCCTGCCACCGCCCTTTGTACCCAAGCTGTCGGGCCGCACCGATGTCAGCAACTTTGATGAGGAGTTCACGGGGGAGGCACCCACGCTCAGCCCTCCCCGCGATGCGAGGCCCCTCACCGCCACCGAGCAGGCCGCCTTCCGGGACTTCGACTTCGTGGCCGGGGGCTGCTAGCCCCTCTTCTGTACCTGCCCCCGCCCCCAACCAAGAGCTCTTAGTTTTTAAAAAGGCCTTTGGGGTTTGCCCCAGCCATGCATCCTTCGTCTCTTGTGCTTAGAAATGGGGTGGGAGGGGCCGGCCCGTGGCTCACTCGGGAGAGTGTGGTGCTGATAACACCAAGGCCACGGGTTCGGATCCCATATAGGGATGGCCGGTT